TAAATATCACAAAGCCTGCCATTTGAAATAATAATAATGTTCGATGCTAAATTGCTAATAACAATCATTGTCAAAGTTAAGCTTAACACCTTTATTGATATCTCAATGCGATTTCTAGCTACAGTTTAAACGCTTCGTTTGTTGTCCATGTCTGTGCATTTCAATGCGATCGGCCACATTTTGCTCTTGAAAGCGCCTTGCTCTGCTCAGCTCTGCGTTTCTACAATCTTTGTAACGATGCTTCTTCATTATCTGTCATAAGTCTATTTAAGCAATTAATGAAACCATGATAATAATAAACTGTTGTATTTGGGCCGTGGTGCGTTGCCTTCAATACTTTGTATCATTTTGTCCCACAACCCGTTCAATTCAATAGGCGAACTAAGACCATTCGTTTACCAAATATGAACCAAGATTATATTAATGTAGTACGATTACCAGATACCCGGTGTGTATACATAAAGCTCGTTGCCGCTGTTATTGGTAAGAATAATAGAAGAAATCGTCAATTTGGAGAGTGGAAGGAGGATTAGGCATTCCTAACAGTAGATAGTATATAAAGATAAAGGGATAACGCGAACAAATAAAGGTGCTAGAAATTGTGAAAGAGATGGGTGTGCGAAGTGGAAAAATTTCTGCACAACGGAATTAATGGGAGTGTGTACATGATTACTGTAGAGTATGAGAGATTGAAAATGTTGGGGGGGGGGGGGTATTACAAAACCGTCGATGATGGGGCTGCGGCAGCTACGGAGGAAGAGGAAGGAGATACGGAGGATGCCCCCTGCTGGCTGTGAGTCTCATCTCCGCTATCGTTTGAACTGATGGCAATCACGGAATCTGTAAAGGAGAAAATAACAAGAGCACTAGATTTAAGGCTACTTTCTGATAAATTTAATACGAAACGAAGTCAATTCAAATAAGTTGAGCTAGTAACAATTTGCATATTCGTCTAGTGCTGATCCTTGTACCTGAGAAATTGTTTCCATATGGAACAATTAAACATACTGAAGAAAAGTGGTCATTAAAGACTAATATTTTCATCCAATGCCTTTATGCCAAGTCAATGTGTCTTAAGGAAGAAACAGGGGCAAAGAAACATTAAGTGCACACTTCACTTCAATGGAACATACCCACTGACTAACAAGGAACGTGGAGGAGAGTGTATTTCCTGATCTATAAAATGGCCGCCGTTCTTTCATTTGGCTGATTTGTCAGCTCTCCATGTAGGCAAGAGTGCTCGTTCTTCTAACTTCTCAATAGTAATGCATCTTGTGATTCGCTTAATTAAATAATAGGCCAAACTAATTAAGGGAAATGTTTACTTCTAACTACTACCATGACCACTGCCTGTTCTGGATTTTCAAAGCTCATCTTGGGCATAGGACATCGCGGTGCCTCCCTGATGAGAGGCTCGAGTTCTACCAACCTCTACGCTTAACCGGTTTGCCTGGCCAACTGGCTTATGACCTCTGACCTCACTGCACCGCCGACACTATATGCTACTAATAGAAAATGGACAACAGCGCCCCATAAAAGCTACCGTAAATGTACAAACTAGCAGAGCTCGTTAAATCAACCACAAAACAGCTTAAGCGATAGGATAGATCGATACATCCCCCATGTCCTATCTACACCAGTTTCAAATAAATGATTAGCGACTTGTGCAATAGTGAATGTCTTATGACTATGCTCCAATGTGCAACTGGTGTAATTCATAAATGACTATTGAATAAGACAATGAGTAACTAACGAGAAGATCCTGAACTGGCGGCATCCCCAGAAGGTGAAGGTGTGGGTTGAGGTTGAGTCCGACTCTCACCAACTTCTTGGGCAAGATTTGGTGAATTACTTGAAGCTCCTTGAACAGCAGAAGCAGCCAAATGTTGCTGATGCATTAGAACATCCATAAAGTCCCTACAAAGCCAAAATGCATTAGTTATAAAAGGAAAATGCCCAATGTCTTGTGATATAGCAATCATTATTCATTCCCTTTGGTTTACCACGATTTAGCACATATAGATTCCTATATTGCTCTTGGTCTATTTCAACTTCTACCAATCCTTCACATTGCTCGACACCGAAGATGCTCTTTTCTAATACACCTACCCCACTCTCTTGCTTCAACAAGATTCTATCTATAGACTCTGACCCTACTCGTGCCGTCCTCCTACTTTCTCCATGCCAAATCGAATTAAATCACGTTGCAAGTTGTGTACCTATACGCACTGTTAGCTGCGTCAGAGATCGTAAGTTAGGCACTTGTTTGAACGATAGAATGAGAGTTTCTCTGTTAAAGGGTGCGTATATACCTCACTAAGTAATAAACTCTACTTTCAATGGGCTGAGAAATTGCACTTTGCTCAAGAGGGAATGGCTTAATATGAAAAAAATAAAATGGGAACTGGGTTTCGTAGCAAATGCATTTCTAAGGCAGGAAGCAGTTGATAAGATAGTGAAAAGAATGAGGAGAGTAGTTTCACTAGAAGAGCAACTTACTTAGGCCAGCCACTTTCTTCCCAACGAATATGTCGACTAAAAAGAGAGCCATCATTCTTCATTCAATTCAGCCGGAAATCTTAACGCCTATCAATACTATGCAATCCGAGGATAAACAGATTCATTGATCATTAATCAACCATCCTTTTTGGAAAATATCGAAGTGCGCGCTACACGGTTTCCATTTCCCTCATATCTTGTTTTTTCGTGAAAATCGAAGAAGTTGACAACCTTTTAACAGTGTACACACTAATATCCCCAATCTTAGCGAATTCTTACCAATAGCAGACTCAACGGGAGTGGAAACGTTCGCTATATTTCCATAGGTTACATTCTGAACCATAATAGACCAGCTCGTTACATTTTATTAAAGCATTTACAATACACTTAAAAGCTAATGAAATAATATATATATGAGTGTTTTTGCATTCACAAGACGAATTAGTATCTGACTTTTATTGGTGAATTTTATTAACGATTGTATTGAAGCACGGCTTCATACAAATGCGTCACAAAAGCTATAATCATTCAGATTACGGTTCATTCTACAACGATCTTACAGTTGCCAAGCTGATATCTCTCCCAAATCGAAAATCTGTGAAGAAAGCCATTTCCGAAACTCACCTTCAATATAAGGTCAGTAACAGGAAGCCTCCATTGTGAGGAGCTCGTAAACTTAACTAATGGGGTCAACTATTCCAAACAATGCGTGTGTAGCTGATTCCACTATATCAAGGGTAAACTTGAAAAAGTTATAAGATTCTAAATACCAACGCCTCATAAAGTCTCTTAAGACTTTAATGAATTCCGACCAGACTACTATTTTATCGGTTACCATAGGGTGGGTTGTACAAAAGAGAATTTGTGAAACATAAAGCGATGCACTACAGTGGATGATACTGTATCACCTACATCAGTCCCATTTTTTGAAAGATATGCTTCGGCTTAGCCTTGAATTTATTTCTCCAAATCAATATAATAAAAATAACAAAAACTTACGTTATGGCAGGATGAGAAGGTTTGTTTTTCTCGCCCTTTGACAATCGGATTAATTCCTCATAGCGAGCAGTCTTCTTATAGAAGTAGTAGAAGAGAACTAAATCCTTTGTCGTTTTATGCGGTAACTACAAACGGGAAGAGGGAGATTAGCATTAGAAAATCAAAGACACGCAATAAAACAGCAGGCATTGTGAAGTCATCGCAAGTGTAATGCGCACCCTGTGGGCTCGAATTTTGAAAAAATTTTTCTCGTAAGAGGCAAATCCCTTCTCAAAGTTTGTACAATCTTCGTCAGTCCACTCCTCGACTGGTCGACGAATTTCTGCATGAGAAAGAGAGTTGTGTTGATTATGTGCGATTCTACTTTTGAACAATGAGTAGAATGTGTGGGTGTGTGAGACGTACCAAAGGGTTGAACGGGTCTATTTTGAAGACGGCAAAGGGCTTCATCGGCATCGTAGCCCGATCGCATTAGATGGAAAAGAGCCTAAGATTACAAAAATAATAAAGGAGTACGCTGGAATCATGCGACTTTGATATAAAGAACTGTATTCTATATTTTACGATAGAGATTGGTTCCAAAATTCCCAAACAAGTCATTAGTCTATGCTAATTTATAGGAGGAAACTCCACAAACTTGATGAGCCAAAAAGCCGATATGCATTCAAACGAAAAAACGGTAAGTCCAAATCTTGCTTTAAAGCTTAAGGAATTTGTTTCGTTATAGACACTCAATAACTGCAGAAAAATAAAATTTAACGGACCTTTCAAGTGAAAGATTCAAGTAAATTTGATGAAAAAAAGAAATTCTAAGAAGTCATAAATTTCCGCCATATGTCCAAGATCAATTTTATGAGAACTCTACAGGAAGCAGCTTTTTACGCAATGCAATAAAAATAAATCGTCATTTGACATGGTTCTGCGGTTTAAATATTGGAATGTTTTAGCTTTAGTGGATAGAGAGATACGATAAAAAACTCGTAGTCCACGCAGGTGAATACTGATGGCAACTACCGAATCACCTAACGAAATGCACCCAAGACACCTACCTCTTCATCATCAGGTGTAGAGACGCTAGCAGGGAGTTCAGAGATGGTTTGGGTATAGGTGCGTTCGTAGCGTTCAGTGACTGCCTCAGATATATGTCCGGGTTGCCATATCAGCCTTGCCTCAGAACCAAGGTGAGAATCCGTTCGCCGGCTGGGAGCTAATGGCGCTAACGGAATAACTGCCTGGAAATCATCACCTACGCGAATATCCTAGAAAAGGAAAAGACATATTCATTAATGGAACTCACCGTAGGCATATAGATTGCTTAATCTACAGCTGGCCAATCACACATAACGACAGCAAAACAGATGTAAAGAGGATTCGACGTTATTGCAAAAAATGTAGACGGAGAATAATTGGCCAATGCATTCCAAATCATAAAAAATATTTTCTCAATCCTCAGTTTATCAGTGTAACCTTTTTACTCTTTACAAAGTGATCTGCTAAATGGATAAAAAGCTTCACCCCCCTATTGTCAACATCGACTTCGTTTAAGTAACTTCGGGTCTGGATGGGTCATTAAAACTAAAGAGAAATGAGAGTGAAGATCACGGAATAAGGTTGAAATGAATAAGTGAAATTGGCTTATAAGGCCATCGTTTAGCAACTTCTGCTAACTCAATATCGTCTAACCAAATCAACTTTGCCGCACTAAAATTGTGAACTATACGGAATATCAAATAAGGTCATTAAAGAAATTAAATGTCAAGTAAACATTTTCAGCCTTTATAATTTCAGAAAAGCAAAAAAGCACCATTTTTTATGTTGCATTTTGAAATGAGCGTTTTTATTGGTAAGGCTAATACGTAAAGCTGAAAATGACATTGCTAAGAAATAAGCACATGATTTGGTGAAAGGGCAGGGTGATTGCAGACATGGAGACTTCTGAAATTGCAGTCCTTTTATGGGTCAGTTAAAATCAGCCCTGTGCCTGAGCAAGACACTGCAAAATGGCTCAGATTGCCATGATTTTCTTAAAAAGCGAGGAAGGCGTGCAGAATTAACAAAAAGAAACTACTTGACAGGACACAACATCAAAGGTGGAAGGATAGGTAATGATGAAGTTACAGAGGAGGGAATAAGTAAATACGTCTGTACTGGAGGTGATAGATCGAGTCAAACAAATAGTGAAGGCCAGCTTAAAGTAAATATCATATCTATAAAAACGAGTTGCATACCTACAAAACGAGGTAGGTAACTGAGACAGTAAGCGGGCCAAAGAACTCTACCTAACCGCCTAGGGTCACAATGGGAATAAAGCTAAAGGCTCAACCAACAATTAACATTTAACCATATGTTTGCATATACAGAGATCCCTTATTTGAATTGGACATACCCTTTCTTCTGAGGAAAAATGAGGTTGTAGTGAATGCTGAAGTTCTAAGCTGCAACCGAATGATCTCAGAAAAAGACCAAAAGAGAGAAATTTGAACTTTACCTGATTCCAAAGTAGAAATCGGATAATTCTGATTCCTTGAACACCTGTCAACTAACGACTTATGGAAAGAAAATGGCCTTTTACATTGCTTATTAGACTAAAACAAAGAACCCAAAGCGATCAACATCTGATTTTAGGAAAGTCTCATGGAAGCTGCTAACGGAATAAATCAAATCCTGACGTGATCAGACACCCAAAATAATCCTAGTGGCAGGATTTCACGCTCTGCTTTTGAATTCCATATTGTCAAGTCCTACCAGAAAACACTTGAAGAAATATACATTAATATCTAAAAACCCTAAATTCTGCGTAAGGCATCTGGATGGCTGGTACGCCTCAAATCTCGCATCACAAAGAAAAAACTTAACATGACCTCCTTCATTAAATAAGAGAGGGACACGGCTAAAGCAAAAGTGGTGCGTGCTACCAGACTTTTCCTCGCATAAATTATTAGTACGATAAACTTGTCGAATCAGTGGCATAATATTGGGTCACAAAGGCCTATAAGAGTTCATTCTAATATAACTTACGCCTCGCCAATCTCCAGTCCCCTCCACATTAGGTTGGTAATCTTCGTCTTCCTCCGAGTTATAGGCTGGCGATTCTCCGGCTAAAATTAGAGTAATTAATTGAGTATACTCATCACAATTAAATGGCTTTTAGAAGAGGTAAATAGAACAAAAGTTCTCAATGTGTAAAAATAGAAAGATCCTATGGAAAAATGTTGTAAAAAAGGTATATCAATTTTCGCTGCCTCAAAGCTGCTGGAGTTTGATTATTTTCAATTACCTCACACCCATTAAGAGAAGCGTTAGTGACTCTAGACATGGAAAGAGAAGGGAACAAAGAGAAGCTCACCTTTTACCACGCTTCAGGCTGAACAGAATTAACCATTCACATCTCTAACCACGCAAAGAGAAGCAACTATCTCGTAACTCCCAAGTTGGCAGACGATTACCTAATGCGAGTGCTAACTCATTTTCATGAGACTTCCTTAACTCATCGTGAAAAATGCCAACAGCACTTCAACTTAGAGCTGCTCTTACGAGAAACTCGTTTTCTACCAACTACCTTATACGAACTTAAAGAGCTAGCACCTCTATAAATTTGCACTAGTCGTGACGTTGTGAATGCGGAGTCTTAAGCACCACCTTTTAAAGTCCTAATAAGAGATTGTTGTCAACTCTTCCGTCTTTTAGAGAAGAGATTTCATGGTTCTTAGACAAATTTAACAAAACCATTGTTTATTCACCCGTTGATGAGGTCGAATGGCCACCAATTAAAACATTGAGAGAAAATGCCTTGACCACCCACAAAGGCGGAACATTTTGAGGTGATCTCGAAGCCGTCTCAGAAAAATGAAAAAAGATAGACTAAATTGTAGATAAGAGTCTTAACCTATAGCGAACTGCGTAAACGAGTAAGTTCAGCAGAATATGAACTTGATCTTTTAGCGATTCACGTTACCTTCCATTCACGAAACAGAATTCCAATTATTTCACTATTAATCTGTGACCTCATTAAAAAATTGTAGTTCTGGAGATTTGCAGGACAATTTCTGAGTCTCCGGTGATGTTAGTATGTACCTCTGCAATTACTCAGTCTTAACAACTAGATCCGATCGTGTTTAACCTGTCGCTCATCAACAGACTAAGAACACGATTTTGTCAAAATATTTTATTAAGGTAATTTGATAGGCCTTCCTTAACGCAACTAGAGTTCCATTCCACCGACATTGGCGCTTTCTTCCTTTATACTCCAGTTTATAGCACCTCCCACTCCTCCTTCCCTTTTGAATTCCTTCATATATAACCAACACACGTTTTTTCAACCCAACTCAAGGTCTTCTCATTTGAGATTGTTCTATCCTCTTAATTCTTACGAGGATCGATCGTTTTGAAGGGAATTCCAAAACTTCACTGAATCTGCCGAGCCAAATTACAAACATGGGTCTCAACATTACTTAATGCTACTACTTACTAGCAAGAGCTTTGCACCAGCGAGTTACGTCTTCTCGATGCTTATCTTCTTCATCACCTTCTTCATCTCCAACTATCATTCCCTCTTCATCCACAGCATCATCCTCGTCATCTTCTTCAGTCTCCATTGGCTCCTCCGATCCACTCTGGCCCAACTCGTCATAAGCAACGGCATTGGCACCTCCTTCGTGCCTATTTTGAGCCGGATATTCATCATCGTTGCTTTCTGTTGTGAGATCTATCTCTATTGCCTTACCAGACTGAAAAAAACGCATACAATTAGAATCACGATTGGGATTCTGTTCATCAAATTCTATTTTTTAAAACACTTTCACTAGTCCCATCTGCTATCTCTAAGAAGAATACAAGATTTTGAAACTTGCATTTTCAGCCTGTGAAAACAAAATAAAAATTCAACGAATTCTTAATTCCATTACATGTAGCCATCTAGCGTAGTGTTGAGTGCTATGTGACAGTTTCTAGTTAACTCAGATCAGCAGAGATTTAGACAGGTCCTTTCTTTGTAGTTATTGATAAGTGAAAATCAACTCACTCCCTAACTAAATTATGAACGAGCATGCAAGACTGAGTGGACACTGGGAGACCATGTCTTAGATTCAAACTGCTTAACCTGAGACAAAGCCTAGATTGAGACATATGATCTAAGCTCGTGGCTACTGTAGAATCGGAAGTAGTTTAAGATAGGGAAAATTCAACAGTTTAGTAGGGAAAAACGCAGATTACTAATTTCTAACTTTTATTTGAAGGCACAAACCACAGAACACGAGTACCAGAAGATTGGAAATGCATAAGAGGGAAAGCAGCATTTCCTCATTTAGTGCCAGAGTATTTGAAATTATGAAGGATAATTCACTTGGCAGACCCAATTATACGTGTATTAACAGTTTCGTGTCTTACGATAAGCGGTTATACGGTGACGATCTGAAACTAGGACATTCCACGCTGTCTATTATCAATATTTCAACATATCGTTCTACAACTATACGGGATTTATGTAGGCTACACGCATAATAACTAATACACAGATAATAATAATTAAAACAGAAAGAAAAAATCACTTACAGAAGTACCAATACCAATACTATTGTCCCTTGCAGCAGTCGTTTCAGAGATTGGAACAGGGGGTGGTTCCGCAACCACAGCACTTCCATTATGACGACGTTTTCGGATAAAGCGTCGTTCACCAGTTAATGCCGATGTCGTGGAAGACGAAGCAGCTGCAGCTGCAGCACCAGCTTCTGATCTCGCAGGAATTTCTGACGGTGGAACACCATAAGAGGCGAGTAGATCGCTTAGAGACATCTCACTTTCCTAAATGAAAAAATAGCATGATGGTTATCCAAACTATGCTTTTAAGATCTGGGAAGAATATTAATTTCTCCACGAATTGAGGTGCCAAGACCTACTTCCATAATTACCCAACAAGTCAAAAAGGATTCGAAAATGTGGACAAGAATTTACTCAGTAATTCAAGACAATGGTGATCAAAACAAGTAAGCTCCGCTATAAAACCATACTACCAATAAGTGGCTTTTGGAAGAAAAACAAAGCCTACATTAGATAATGTATCAGCAAACTCAAGACTCCGCGAACATCCATTCAATCAGGAAACAGAGGGTCAAGTCATCGGGCAACAGAATACGAAATAAAACGCTCACAGCCTGAATAAGAAGGTAAAATGAAACTAGGATACTTTAAGTTTAACTTCCCTTATAACACATTTGAATAGCTTAAGTGTTCAAGAAACACACATTCGTGTTCATTGTCATGGGACGATCGCGATCCATTCCTATTCAATTGCCAAGTGAAACACTATTACTTATTTAAAAATTCACTTATTTTAAAACTTCTAGCAAGGAATACAGGGACAAAATCAGAGAAAGCAAACTCCGAACGGCCCCTTCTCTAAGCCCTTTAAATTTCTTGCCACTTTAGCTTTTATATTTTATTATTACCTTCTAGCTCGCTAATTGTAACCATTAAGGGTATTTATATATTATTTGCTTTTAGGGCAATAAAAACCAGTAATTGATTTGCAATTATACCAAATTATTTTTGCAAAGATAATTATGCATTATTTTTTTAGCTAGCCTAGCAAGCCTGCCTCTATGGATTTTCCATCAAAAAGTACGGAATGTTCCCCTAAGCAATGGGTTCTCGGAGTGGGAAAATGCTCTCTTCACTATGTAGACGTAGTGAGATCGTTGATAAAAAAAATTATCCAGAGATAGCATGTTCCCGCAAATTACTTGAAACACAAAAGATGGTAAATGCCAAACTTAGAACAAAATAAGGTTGCTAAATATCAGAGTGAAGAACAATTGGCATAAAAAATAGCGCCTTAACTATTATTTAAGGTTAGTATTTGACAAAAATCATGTTTAACATTATTCATTGTATGCGAATAAGTTGAAGGTAATAGTGGACTAAAATTTGCTACAGGACTGGACTTCGCTACACCTTTTCACGTTTTATAACTTAATGGACTTCTTTGCAGTTCTACCGATTCAGATAATCTCTCGCGATTGCGATTTTAATACGAAAACATAGACTGGTAAACAACTAAAAATCGACAGAGCACAGAACTTCATATCACTTCTCAAGATGAGAGCTCAACTTATACTTAAGCATTCAGTTCTAAGTATGCAGATAAATTTACGAACGGTCAATCGAAATTGGTAAAAATGGTATTCAATGAACTCAGTTTAAATGTTAAACTAGAGTACCACCATTGATTAAAATAAAAACCGGAGAAATATGAACAGTAGAAATTAGATAAGAATCTTGGATTTTCTCTTATGGGGATCTTGTGCCCACCAGTACATAACATTACGTTTCAATATCACATTAAGAAGTTAAGCCGATGAATGACCAAAATAGGTAAACTACCTACTTATGATGAATTTCATGAAGAGATAATGCACGAGTCTCCAATTTTCCAAAGGAAATGATTTAAAAACACACTTTGTCCAAGCGCAAATAGACATTAAATATGCTGAACACGATGCACGCTAAAAATTATAAGAAAAAAAGCTAGAGTGTAATGAAGGGCTGTCTGACTTGAGCTCCATGACGTGGTGAAACCAAGAATTTAACGTGTCCATGAACAGGATAAGTATACATCAGCACACAAGAACAGATAGGAAACACCAGCCAAATTAAGTAAAAAAATCATGAAAAGAGGTAAAACAATGAATTTTCGTCTCATTTAACAATGTAAGGGTAGACAAGTTATAATTTAGGATACATAAATAAATGGGATTAAGCCATAGTCAACGAAATAATGGATGATCAAAACAAGAAATCCCTGATTAATAAATGTAAATCACTACATTCCAACTTGACCATCAACATTCCGATTATTTAATTATCAAAAATAATGAGAGCAATTAAAAAAATTAAGTCCAAAAAAACCTAAATGCTAAAAATACTAGTGCTAAATACAAAATTACCAAATCAAAAAAGCAAATATCAAAAAAATTTAATTTTGATTCGTACCCTCATTAAGCTATCGACTTCACCGTCGTCAGGAATGTCTTCATCAGGAGCTATACTATCATCATCTTGTGCAGCACTGCCTTCGTTGGGTTCGAATTCAGAATCCCCAGTTTCGTCATCCACATAAATAAAATCCTCAGTGCTGGGATTATTTATTCCACTACGATCATGTTCGGTCGTTGAATCTGACATCTTAATGAAAACTTAAAGTTAAAAATAGAAGATAAATAACAAGCAAAATTTTCGAGACAAGAACTATGCTCTAAAGAACGGTGATAAACGCCTGTAATCGATGTTTAAACTATTTGTACAGACAATTTTATAGATAATAGCTAAGTGATGCTTCAAAGGCCAAATAAGATATTAGCTGTGTATTCACTGATCTACATTCAAGAAAAAGAACGAAAGCGAAGAGTATGGTGCGAAAGGTTTTCGTGAAAAACATTAAGGAAAAGTGCCAAAAACATGAATGTTCGAAAAAATTTTGAACGAAACTGAAACAAATTTAGAAAATGCTGCTATTCAACTATGGAAATATGTGTAAATCTATTATTGTAAACAGCCGTAATAAAATCATTTTAATGTATGAACTATCTATTAATTCACACCGAAATAGATAATATAACATCAACAGTTTTAGTTTTTAATAGTAGCTTTTTCTTACCTTACAAACACACAAAAGTAAGGCCAGATAAGTAGCTCCAAAACCGATTTTACAAGCACTTTTAATAAGCTATTTAAACAAAATGCCATTGTTCAACGTTTGGCCTTAAAAACGTTATTAAAGTAACAAATGATGATTGTATGAAGAAAATATTGTTTTTATATGAGATTTATGCTACAATGATGTAATGCTTAATTAAGATAAATTAAGGAGGCTCGTGAATATCAGTGACAAGTAATTAAGGCCAATTATATGAAAGTATTAACTCTCTTGAGATTTTTACAATATTTACTCATAACAAGATGTATTTATTTGCATGTTTGTTGATACATTTTCTAGAGCTTTTAAAATAAAACGAATTTGGCTTATATAGCATGAAACCTCTCGAAAAGAAATCTCTGGTATGCCTTGTGAATGCTCCAAATTTTCAACTCGGATAAGTCATCCAATTTGATTTTTTTAATATATTTGTTAACAACAGGTTAGAAAATAAAATTATGTGAAATTTTGCGAATTTGAATTCAATTTACATTGCCGCACAATTTCATAGTGAAGTAATTTGACTTTAGAATTTAAAATATGATTAGTTTATTTTGGCCTACTTAACTTTTCACAAGTAAATATTAACCTTTCAATACTTTTTCATTTAACTGTTCATTAATCGAATTCAGATTTATTATCCCTATATAATATACAAAATATTTCATTTGTCTTTTAAGCTGTGACTTCGGGGGAGCAAGTATTTGTCAATTAGTGTCATCTTTTGGCAGGTTAATTTATCCTGAGAAACATTATGACAGCTCATTGTGGTCGTGTTCGGAACTTAACTTAGATTTCCTAGCAAATGATAATTTTCAGTTAAAGAAACTCCAGCATTTCAGTTCATACTCCATCTAATATAGAAATAGCACATTAAAGGAAATACATTGAGCCTTTCTCCACTGTAATAATCAAAGGCAACAAAAACCTGATTTTTATATCTTAACTACCTAGAATTTAAGTAGATTTATTTCCTAAATATTTCCAAATCACGATCTATTTTGAACTCGTCTTTGCACTCCAAAACAGAACTCGAGGGTTTCTATTTTGATTAATTCTGAGTTTCTGAGAATAATGCTTCAAATAAATTATATTTGAAGCCTTTATATCGCTCTTGAATTCAGTGCCTCTCACAATGACCTAGTTATTCACGAGATAGAATATTGTTGTGAAGACTGAATTTCACCAGTATGAATGTATTTGGAAATGCCCACCTCTTCCAAAAAAAGTGACAAAAGACCTTTTTCCCCGCCTACATGAAACTGCTGACTCCTGTTGCAGTTAAACCCTGGAAAACGAAAGAAGGTAGCCAGTAATGGCTTTATCATGACCTCAACAGAATTCGGTCAGCCCTTTACCTTGCATCAGTTAAAGGTAACAAATTTCTGCCGATCGATATTTACAGCTACAGCAACCCTAATGAATGTGTGGCCTCAGAACACTCGTCTCCACCCTCCCCCACCCCCTTAGCCAGTTGAACTATTACGGGTGTATTGGAAGTAATGGAGAGTGTGACAAATCGTCATACCAGTGCTACAAAACCGACAAATTGAAATAAGGTTTTTAGATCCTTCATAATTAGATTGTAAATGAATATAAATGATAAATAAGGTAGAATATTGTAAATGAATTGGACCAATTGACTAAGGAGGGGTTGGGAGGTGGGGGAAATGGGCCGTGAGAGAAGGAAAGAGGAAAGGGATTAGATGGAGGGCGAGGGGTGTTAGGAAAAATCGAAAAATATGGAACGCTTCACGATTTTGCGTGTCATCCTTGCGCAGGGGCCATGCTAATCTTCTCTGTATCGTTCCAATTTTAGTATATGTACCTCCGAAGAGATACGCTCGTCCTGCCCACCGTCGCAACACCTAAATCTTAACGCACCAATCTCCAACTTCTTTCCCTCAGCCTACGCACATCGAATTGAGCCCCATTCACCACTGTCCTTACACCACCTCTTTCCCTTCTCCTATTCTCCCTTAGCTCTCCTCACCATTTCGCTCCACGCGCCTCCTGGACCCAATACTACTTGCCCCTCACAAACCGCCATTCCCGCCACTACTGCTACTAACTCTACTACTACTATCACTTCTGCGTCATTTCAGTAGACCATCCTCCCCCTCCTTCTCCTCCTAATCCTCCTGTCACATTGATTTCGATTCTAGTGGCATGGCTCACACCGTGACGACGAGTGCCACACTCCTTCCATGTCGACGATTGGGATTGCGGAGGTGATGGCGGTGGCACTTCGGGGCAGTGTGTGGTGTGCATACTACTCATAAGTTGCGGGATGAAATTGTGGCGCGACTGAGGGAATGACGAGAGAAGGAGCAGTAGTTGGAGCCGATGAGGGGCAAAGAGGAGGGTGACTATGCGAGGGCATTGGGGAAATGCCTCGAAACCCACAGGGAGAATGCATAAGTGGAGGGGTGAGAGGAGATTGGCAGGTGGTGGCGTGTAGATGGGTGGAGGAGAGGCGCGGGGAGAGCCGTTAACTCTGGCATCTCCTCAGTTGCGGACAAATCTTTCGCCTTTTACTAAAGATTTCCGTGTGGAGGTGCAATACAATGAGTCTATAGATTCATTTTTGGGCTGCCCCGACGGCTTCGGCTGTTGGGGCGATGGTTGGGTAGCAAAGAGAGTTTGGTTGGTGCAAGGCTTGGCGGTCCTGTCGTGTTGGGTCGGGTCCCTTCTGGTGAGGTGGGGCTTGATCATATTTATTTCAAATGGCAGGCGTTTTGAAAGATATCATTAGCCATTTAGCTGGCTTCGGGCCTCACAGGGGGGAGAACAGAAGAGCGATTCACAGTTGTAAAAGAAATAGACGGACACAAAGGTAGAGAAAAAGGTAAGGGGAATACTGTGGAAGGTGTCGAATATGACAACCAGGGGAGGGAGTCGTGGTAGTTAGAAGCCAGATGTCAATTGCCGGTTAATAGACTTTTTTGCCGTATGAGTATACGTTGCCCAGAGTGCACCACGTGGAGGTAAGTCTATCGCACACCCCAGGCTTGGTCATTAGAGGACTTAGTCGTAGGGCCTGCTTCCTCTCCTCATCCTTCTCCATCGCTTCGCCCACTTCCTCTTCTTCTGCCTCCCCACCATCATCGTCTTCATTGTGCATAGTAGCGCTCTTGAAGTCAACGTCACCCACTCGCTCATCATCCTCCAGCAGCCACAACGTCACAACAAGGAGTTGGCGGCGTCTACTTCAAGCGCGTGTTACTACCCTGAGACTCAAGTCAGGCCCTCGTGGCATGTACCCAGTTTCACCAACCCAAACGGCCCTTCTATTACCCGGCCAATTCCCCTCCGCGATGCACTGCGCGCCTATTCACGATCCGTCTCGGTACTTCGAATCACGTCTTTTCTCCCTCCAAAGGAGCCGAGGAATGGCGATGACAAAGCATGAGAGGGCAGGTGAGGGTTCACTAAACGAGAACATTCCGCGT